ACTCGCCGTCAGCGGGGTCGAGGGCGCCGTCGGCGGCCTAGTTCAAATCTTCACATTTTGGTCCTTTTCGCTCCAAATTCGCTTCTTTTTGTATATTTTTGCTCCAATGACCCTAATTCATCATTTCTGCAACAAAACATAAAAAATACCTTTCTTTAAAGTGCAATATCGTTAAAAACAGTATAAAATAGGTTTGAAAATCTCAACATATTTTTCTTTGGTCACACTCTACTTGGTAAAACCTCCTACTCAGCCACCAGATACATATTACCCCCATTCTACAGGAGGGAGAATAGTGGTATGTGTTTATTATATTTTATAGCTACTATTAATTTCTTTTATTATAATCATAATAATAAATTAAAATTTTTAAAGGCATCACATAAATATTTTGGAGGGGATAATGACGGAAGTGCTAGTTCCAAGAAAGCAAGGGTATCACACAAGGAACAACTCCATCGTTATTGTAGTGATTTGATCGAGCAAGCAGACATGATTTTCATGTGGGGCCTTATCATAGAGCAGACGTCAGACTACATGATCTCCAAAGATCAATTTCTGATAATCGTGTCGGTTGTCTTCCACTGCTATGATACGATTAACAACAAATGATCCAAGATCTTCAGTTGCCAGAACATTTAGATCTCTCTTATATGAGTTGCACAAACAACAATATCCATAATTATTTGCTCATCATGATCAATCAGTATTTGTAGAACCCTTCAACTTTGCAGGATCATCGACATATGAGGTTTCATCGTATGACTTACAATGGATGACTTTTACTAGTGGAGATTTTGATTTAAATTTTCAAAACATTCCTATTTCTATGCCTATTTTTAATATAGGCCTAAATTTTGATACATCTCAATTTTATTCACCTCCAAATCTCATGAATGAAAAAAATTACTGGATGTCACAATAATTTGCGAATGCCACAAGTGAAGACGATAATGTTGAATAAGAATTTCAAAACCATTGGTGGCAACATTGAGCACTATGACCGTCGTCGTGATATACACTTGGCTCAAGCGTCATTCTACCCCGGCGGAAAAGATAATATTATTTTGTAAACATGATGTTATGAGAATATTTTAATGTGAAATAAATTTATGAATTTCATTTTTTGTTAATTAATTCATTTATACTTTTTTGATTAGTATAATATTAATTAAATAATAATTAATGTAAAAAATAATTTAAAAACTTATTTATAGTAATAGTTAATATATATTAATATTGAAATTATTTATAGTATAAATTAATATATATTAAAAAATTAATTTTATTGTCGTTTCTTATAAAGACCAAAATTTATATGAAATTTTCTCATTGTGGGTGTTTGTGCTTCTTAGTAGATTTTTTTTCAAGTTCCTTCGCCAAATTTCAATAAAAAAAAGTACTCTTTTCTATGATTTGTCCCCCTTAAAGTAACACTCTGTTTATTCTCCATTACATTCACCGTTAAGAAACCTGGGGGAAAACAACTCTCGTCTCTCTCCTGGATGGTTTTTTTAGTTCATTCTCCACCCAATGCTGAAATACATCTATCCTCAATCTCTGCTCTGTGCCTAACCATCAGCTATGTGCTTATCAATTTCCTCAGATTATTTGAATACTCTAAAATGTTGTCAGGAATTTTGGCATTTACAACCAGTCTAAAGCACTATTCAACTTATCAAATAAGATGTTTTGTAAGTTATATTGGCTACTGCGAAGTTCTTGTAACATTTCTAGTGGAGCGCATGCCAAGTTTGACCTAGATGAATTTTCTTGGTGAGATGCAAGAAACACTGGTTTGTTTTTTTTCTTGCATTTTTTTCGGCGAACATTTAAGATATGGTAGTATGGTT